CACATATCCTGCCTAACATGTGAGTCAGTACAGCGTGATGAAAGGTGGTTTCTCCCGTAAGAAGCAGGCTCACGATATGTAGCTCTGGTTGCCCTGCAACTCATGGGTGGATAAGCTTTACTGAGCATGTACCTTATGCCTGACCCAGGGGAGGAGCCTTAGCAATGAATAAAATAGATGAGCTGCTAGGCATGGTGGCATATGCCTGCAGTTTAGCACTTGGGAGGCAGAGGCAGGAGGATCTCTGTGAGTTTGAGGCCAGAGAGTTCCAGGACAGCCAGATTGTTACACAGAGAAACCCTATCTTGAAAAACAATAAAATAAAAATAAAATAATATAAAATAAAATAGGCCACAAAGAAAGAAATGGTCCTGGTGGAGCAGGTCTATGATCCCAGCACTCAGGAGGCTGAGGCAGGGGGATCGGAAGTTTGTCATCATTTGCTACATAGTAACTTTGAGGCCAGCCTGGAGTAATTGTTTCCTTCTTCAATATACAAAAAAGAGAGACATTTTTCATTTGTTTTTCTCCTTTCTGCTTAATTTATTGGTTATGAAGATATGAGACTTGTAATTTCCACAGCCATTTTGTAGCCATGCAGCACTGAGAATAGAATGTAAGACTATCATTAGTTTTTAAAGGAAGGTAGAGGAAAACACAGGAAAACAGGTCTATGACAAACCCCTAGACTCCAAATAGTCACATGACACCAGAAGGTACTGATATTTTATTTATTTTTATTTTATGTGTATGGGTGTTTTGCCTACATGCCTATCTGTGTACAGTGTCTGTGCTTCGTGCCAGAGGAGGCCAGAAAAGGAACTGCAGTTACAGATGGTTGTGAACTGTTGCCATGTATGTACTAGGACTCGAACCTGGATCCTCTGGAGGAGCAGCCACTGCTCTAAAATATGAAGCTACCTCTCTAGCCCCATAACAGAATGTTTCAGATATTTAAAACGTATTAGCTGGATTCTCTTGTCATCTACCCCCAGCCCCAGTGTCTCACTATAGAACCCTGGCTGACCTAGAATTTCCTACTTGAACTCACTCGCTGAAATCCACCTGCCTCTGCCTCGAAAGTACTGGGATTAAAGGTGTCCACTAACTATGTCAGGTTTTTGGACAAGATCTTATGTAGCCAAGGATGGCCTTAAATTCATGATCCTTCTGCCTCTACCTCCAAAGTGCTGGAATTATAGGCATGAACCACTGTACTTGGCTTTTCTTTTTTTTAAAAATATTTATTTATTTATTATGTATACAATATTCTTTCTGCATGTATGCCTGAAGGCCAGAAGAGGGCACCAGACCTCATTACAGATGGTTGTGAGCCACCATGTGGTTGCTGGGAAATTGAACTCAGGACCTTTGGAAGAGCAGGCAATGCTCTTAACCACTGAGCCATCTCTCCAGCCCTTGACTTTTCTTTCTTAAACTACATACACCCATCCATCCACCCACCCATCCATCCACCCATCCACCCATCCATCCATCCATCCACCCATCCATCCATCCACCCATCCATCCATCCATCCATCATCCATCCATCCATCCATCCATCCATCCATCCATCCATCCAGTGTGTGTATGCATGTGGTGCATGTGGAAGACAAAGAACAACTTGCATGATTAGTTTTCTCCTTTCCACCTTCTGAGTCCCTGGGATTGAATTTAGGTCATCAAACTTAGTGACAAGTGCCTCAACTCACTGAATCATCCCACCAGCTCTTTATCAATCATCTATCTATCTATCTATCTATCTATCTATCTATCTATCTTCTATCTATATATCATCTCTCTATATATATTTTCTATCTATCTATCTATCTATCTATCTATCTATCTATCTTCTATCTATATATCATCTCTCTATATATATTTTCTATCTATCTATCTATCTATCTATCTATCTATCTATCATCTATCTTTCTACCTATTTACCTTTATATCAAATGTTATTTCTATTTGTTGATTTTGTTTTGAGACAGGGTCTTTCAACATGGCCTTGGCTGTCCTGGAACTCACTACATAGACCAGCCTGAGCTACAACTCACAGAGACCTGCCTGTCTCTGCTTCCTGAGTGCTAGGATTAAAGGCGTGCACTACCACCACCCAGCTTCAATTTTTTTAAGTGTGTGTGGGGTGGGTGTGCACATGAGTGTAGTGCCCACAGAAGCCAGAGATGCTGGATCCCCTGCAGATTCGGTTCCAGACAGATGTGGGTCCTGGAACTGAACTTGGGTCCTCTGCAAAAACAGCAAGGGCCCTTAACAGCTAAGTTATCTCTCCAGCTGCACCCCAACCCCTCAACTCCCCACATCATCATGCCCCACAGTTCCACAGAATCTTGGGGGAAATTGTGATTTTATCAACTACCAACAAAGTAGTTGTCTCTATCCATCTATCTATCTTTCATCTATCTATCTTTCATCTATCTATCTTTCATCTATCTATCTATCTATCTATCATCTATCTATCTATCTATCTATCTATCTATCTATCTGAGTTTCACTATTTCCATATTTTGATGATAGAAGCGATACACTCTTGGGGCTGGAGAGATGGCTGGCTCAGGTGGTAAAGTGCTAGCCCCACAAGTATGAGGACCTGAGTTCGATTCTCCAGAGTGGAGGGAAGTCAGGCATGGCGGCATGTGCTTGTAATCCACCACCAGGGATGCAGAAATGGGAGGGTCTGTGGTGTTCACCGTACAGCTAGCATAGCCTAATTGACAAGCCACAGGACAACTAGGAAGTAAAACAAAGTGAGGTGGACAGCCATTGAGGGGTGGCAGCTGAGGTCCTTTGTCGTCCAGGTGCACTCACACAGAAGCACATCTACATTCACATGAACACACACAAGCACACATATATAAGCAAGCATGAAGTTGCAAGATCCGTGTACAATAGAATGTTGCCCTGACCACCTTACCATCTCTCTGCTTTTTTTTGAGATATGACATCAAGTTGCCCAGGCTGTGTAGCTTTGGATGACTGTGAACCGCTGATTCTCAGGTCCTCACTTTCTCAGGGCTGAGATTGCAGTCATGCCCCACCATTACACCCAGAATAATACACATGTTCTTTTATTTATGTATTTATTTAATTACATTTGGGGGACTGGAGAGATGGCTCAGTGGTTAAGAGCACTATCTTCTCTTCCAGGGGACCTGGGTTTGAGTCCCTGAACCCACACCGTGGCTCACAATCTTTTGTAGCCACAGTTATGGGGATCCGATGCCCTCTTCTGGCAGCTGTGGGTACTGCATGTACATGGTGCACAGACACACCAGAACACCCACGCACAGAAGGTAATAATAATTTTAAAATGTACACAGTCTAGGGTGGCTGTGGGGATCAGAGCATGAGTTGGAGGGTAAGGGTAAGTTCTTTCCTTCCACTGTGTGGTTCTTGGATACCAAGCTCATGTCCACAGTGTTAGTGCTGAACAGTCTTGTGGAGTGCAATACATTTTTTTTTTTTTTTGAGATAGGGTTTCTCTGTGTAGTCCTGACTATCCTGGCACTCACTCTGTAGATCAGGCTGGCCTCGAACTCACAGAGGTCCTCCTGCCTCTGCCTCTCAAGTTCTGGAATTAAAGGTGTGTGCCATCACTGCCCGGCAATGCACATGTTCTTATGTGTGATGACAAATTTCTTTTTATTTCTGCCATATGAGTTGGGTTTTCTTTTTTTAACTTTATGTGTATTGGTGTTTTGCCTGTCTACCTGCATGTCGGTGTGAGGGTGTTGGATCCCCTGGAACTGGAACTACAGACAACTGTGAACTGCCATGTGGGTGCTGGGAATTGAAACCAGGTCCTCTAGAAAAGCAGCCAGTACTCTTAACTCACTGAGCCATCTCTCTCCAGCCCCAAGTTGGGTTTTCTTTAGATGTATGTGTGTCTGTGCTTTGCATGCATGTGTATGAGCTTATATGTGCATGTGGAGGCCAAAGGTCAACACCAGTTGTCTTCTGAATTGATCTCCACCTTTTTTTAAAGCATGTGATTATTTTTATGTTATGCACACACAAATGCCAGCATATATGTATATACACTAAGGGTATGTCTGATGCCCATGGAAGCCAGAAGAGAGCATCATATCCCCGGGACTAGAATTATGTATGTGACGTTGTGAGTCACCATGTGGGTGCTGGGATTCCAGTTGAGGTCCTCTGCAAGAGCAGCCAGTGCTCCTAACTGCTGAGCAGTCTCTCCAGCCCCTAGTCTGCATGTTTTAATGTGTGTGTACTTGCTCGGACATGTACCAGTGCATGGAGGCCTGACATGTGTGTTATGTGTCTTCTCAATTGTTTCTCACTTTATTTTTCAGCCAAGGTCTAGAACTAAATCTGAAGCTCACCAACTGCTAGACTGGATGGAGAGCTAGCCCCAGGGATCCTTGTCCTGTGTCCATTTCCAAAGTTGGCTGTATCTTTTTTTTTCCTTTTTACATGGGCGCTGGGGATCAAACCTAAAGTTCTCACCCTTGTCCAACCTCTGCAGCTCGTGTTGGGTTTTCTGATTACTTATTATAAGGAGACAGATTCCTGAATGAGAGAGACACCCCCATCTGTCCCAGAGACATTTAAAAGAGAGATACACGGTACATACAGACTAGAGAAAGACTTATTAGCATGTTTGTAAACGTGTGAATGTGGACAGGCCACAGTGACACATCTTTGGTTAGTTGCTGGTTTGGAGAGGTGGTCCCTTGGATACACATCACAGAAGACAGACACACAAACACACAGTCTCAAATGTCCTCTGCACCACAGTCATCCACACTCATCTGCACGCCACAGCCACACATGAACACACGCAAGGATCACAGAAGGGTCCAACTCCTCGCTGTTTATTTGCATATGTTGTATAAAAATAGGAAAAATAAACCCAGCTTGGACCACAGCTTCATAAAAAATGAGAGGAAATAAGGGAGGGGTGGGACCCAGTGTGAAATCCGGAGCCTTGGATGCGCTGTGCCGGGCCACTGCACTCACACACACTGATCTCCCGCAGCCACACACTCCGGGTCCCGGATGAGCAGGCCGACAAGGTTGAAAGTGACAGAGACCTCCAGGCAGCCGGGGGTCTCCTGAAAGGACATGGCTGGCTCAGGGGCTGCCGGGACTCAGGGCTCTCAGGTGCTGCAGATCCAGGTCCCCTCTCTAGACTCACCTTCTCCTGGGCCTCCTGGAGCTTGTGCAGCCAGCGGGAGAGGCGGTGACTCTGGGACCCGGGCTCTGCTGTGGGCTGAGACTGTGTCTGTGGACAGAGGAAGGGACTGTAAGCCTGCTGCTGGGACACAGGAAGTCCCCGTGGCTGGAGGCACAATGTGGAGGAGCCGGGGACCCAGGACTCACACAGGCCTGCAGCTGGGACTGGATGTGGCGCAGTGTGTGAAGAGGCTGGTGCAGGATGGGGCCCAGGGCTGAGTCAGTCACGTTCTCCAGGACCTCCAGTGTCAGGGCCAGATCAGCCTGCAGGGCCTTGGGACACTCCTGAACCTGAGAAGAGGCGAGAAATAACAGGTAATCAGGAGAAACAGGTAAGAGAGCTGAGGTAATGGCTGAGAGTGTGGCTCAGAGTGCTTGACCAGAACCTTCCAAGGATGGCCTGGGGACGTAGCTCAGTGGTAGAGCCCCTGCCTAGAATCCCCCAGTGAGGGGCTGGGGTGTGGCTCAGCGGTAGAGTACTTACCTAGCCTGTGTGAGACCTGAATTGAGTTCCTATAACCACATACACACCTGCCCCAAACCCCAAAAGGCAGAGGCAAGTCGGGTTGTGTAGGGAATACAATACAGGGGGAAGGTGGTTCAGGACACTTGGTGGAGACAGATGTGGACAAGAGGGATCCAAAGATGAGGAGTGTTTGAGAAGGAATACAGATGAGGAAGGTCCAGATGAGGAAAAAAGGAAGGGAGGAGATGGGTGAAGGCATACAAAAGGCGACTAGCAAACAGGACTCTGGCTTTAGTAGATCGGGGAGAAGAGAACAGAATAGGGAGGTAGGGGAGGTGGAGAAGGCTGTATGGAAAGATGGAGGATGGAGAGGAACGTAGGCTGGGAGAGGATCATCTTAAGAGATGAGGGGCAGAGGGGAGAGGCTGTGTGAGGGGAAACGGGGTAAGAAAGGAGACCACAGGGAGAAGCAGAGAACAGGACTGGGCATGGGTGCCAGACAGGCTGGGTGAGGAAGGAAGAGAAATATGAGCCAGGTGTAGTGCCATGTGTCTATGATCCCAGTGTAGTCAGGAGGCTGAGGCTGAGGGTCTCCAGGACCTCATGACTGAGGCCAGCCTGGGCTACATAGTGAGACCCCACTGTCCCTCCTGCCCCCCAAAAGAGATTGAGCTGAAGGAACCAGATAAGCATGGGATGGCAGAGGCACTTGAGGGACACGGGGTTTGGGGACAGAAGCAATAGGGCAAGGGGGTGACCCTCCCCTGGGTTCCAGTTTCTGGCTGCTGGGACAGGGACTGATGCTGCACTGGACATCCTTCCGGAGCAGCCGTTCCTCCTGAAGAGAAAGACACAGGTTAGCTCACACAGGAGAGACAGGGCCTAGTTCGCAGCAGCAAGAGTGACTCTTGGCCTGGTGGGAGGGCTTGAGGTGAGTTCACGGCAGAAGGGATAGACAGGTCATAGCTGGAAGACTCAAGCCTAGCTGATAGCAGAAGGTTAGAGGTTAGCCCACGGTGCCAGGCTGCCATCTTCATCCCAGTAGGAAAGATGGAGGGTAGCCCATTATGGTAACAGCAACGCACCAAAGACTGGAAAATGCCAATGCGACAGCCTGTTCTGGCTGGAGTGGGCTTGGAAGGAAGGACAGGACCAGCTGTGGCCAAGCCCAGCATCATGGTCACCAGACCCAGCAGCAATAGTATAGCCATGCTCAAGTCCCAAGTGTCCCCTGAGCTTCATGGTTCTGCTTTTTCAGCCTTGATGATGTGTACAAAGAGAAAAGGAGGTGAAGGGACACCAAAATTTACTCTCCAGAGGCAGGGAGCCAATTCCTGGGCCAGGTAGGTGAGCAGGTGTGGGCGTGGCCAGGTGTGTGATGCTGTTCCAGGAAGGAAAGAGAAACAGAATCCAGTGTCGGGAGTCTGCAAAACCATCTCTTTCAGGACATCGAATACATTGGAGATGGGAGGGGGGCAATAGTGGGAATGGGCAGAAGGCTCAAGGTCACAGTGGGAACGGGAGGTGGAGGGTGGGCGGGTGTGGAACAGGCTCCCTGACTGAGAAGGATGTCTCACGAAGATTCCTGCGAGTGAGTAATTGCTGTTGCGGTTGTGAGGATTATTTTCTGGGTGTTGTCCTGGTCGGGAGGTAGCTGGAAAGGATTCCTTTCTGGGTACTTGAGGGTGTTTGGGGAAAAGGCAGGCCTGTGAGTCAGTGGGCTGTATGAGGAAGGAGACTCCTGTAGAGTGAGGGCGTTGAGAGGAGGAAATTTGGAGCTGAGCACTCTTGACTGTGAGAAAGCCCCATTCCTGGCCAGGCCGTGGTGGCGCACGCCTTTAATCCCTGCACTGGAGAGGCAGAAGTAGGCGGATCTCTGGGAGTCTGAGGCTAGCCTGGTCTACAGAGCAAGTTCCAGGACAGTCTAGCTACACAGAGAAACCCTGTCTCAAAAAACCAAAGATAAAAAAGGAAAAGAGATCCATATTCCTTACTGATCTCGTAGAGGACCTGGGTGCTGTTGTTTTTGATCTTTTGGGGGGGGCCCACCACCCAACTCCCAAATAGATCACATATGGAAACTTATTCTTCATTATAAATGTCTGGCCTTAGCGTGGCTTGTTTCTAGCCAACTTTCCTTTTTAAATTATCCCGTCTACCTTTTACCTCTGAGATTTTTCCATTCTCTTACTTCTGTAAACCTTACTCTTACTCCATGGCTTGCTGTGTATCTGGGTGGCTGACCCTTGCCGTCCTCCTCCTTTTCTGACTTCTTTCTCTCCCAGATTTCTCCTTCTATAGATTCTCTCTCCCTGCCAGCCCCACCTATCCTTTCTCCTCTCTTGCTATCGGCTGTTCAAAGAATCACAACTTCCCAGAGTCAAACAAATACAACACAAACAAAAGTAACCCACCTTAAAATAACATTCTACAACACATGGGTTATCCACGTACAGCTCATAAGTGTCTATGATTTCAGTTCCAGGGTCTCTTATGCCCTCTTCTGGTCTCTGTGGGCACCAAGCACAAACACGATAAATACATACATGCAGACAAACACCAGTACACATAAAATAAAAATAAATCAATCTTTAAACAACAACAATAAAACCCCTCTACACTCTCTGACTGGGCTTAGTGGTCCACGACTGGCTGTGTGCTGTTGAAGGGTACATGACTCTGTGTCCTGGGATTCTGCCTCTTGGAAGAACCCTGATCCAGATAATGGTGGCCCCACTTTTCTGATGACTTCCTTGAGGTCCCTCCAGTGGTCAGGAACAGGCTAGGGTGTGTACAGAATTCTCTGTTTCACCCCCACTGTGCCTACTGCTGAGAGATGGGACAAGAGCCCGGACAGAGCTGGAGCTGGGTGTGGTGGCAGGAGCTTCGACTCCCAGCATGCGGGAGATGGGAGGAGAGACTAGCTGGACAGCAAGACCATCTCCAGAACCAAAGTAACAGAGGTGGGCTGAGGGAACGGCTTGCTCAGGAAAACTGCTGTGTCACAAGCTGCAGGACCTGAGTTTGATCTCCAGGACACATACTAAAAGCCAGTACCATATTTCATGCCTGCAGTCGCTTTGCTGGGGGAGGCAGGCAGAAGGCTCCCTGGGGCTAGCTAGCTAGCCTGTCTTACCAATTGGTAAGGTTGCAGTTCAGTGAGAGACCCAAAAAACAAGGTGAAGAGTGACTGAAGAAGACACCTGGTAAAAGCTTGTGTGTGTGTGTGCGCGCGCACACACACACACACACACACACACACACACACACGCACACACACATGCAAAGCCTCAGCAGTTAAGGTGTCTCCTTTCTGACTGTTGGGTAATATGAAACAGGGAAGAAGGTCCTCATTTGCTGGGGACAAGGGCACTTCCTAGGGAAGGCTGGGGAAGGGTCTTGGACTCTGATGTCACCCATCACCTCTGGAGTCTTCAGATCCGCATAACCAGAAAGCAATTGCTGTGATGTGTCTGCAGTTTTTATTTCTTCCTTTCTTCTTAGCCCTCAGTGCCCGAGGTCATTAATCATACTTTTCAGATCACAACACAGAACCACAATCGGCTCATAAAAGACTCTCCTCCTCTCCCATCCCCACCCCTACCCATCCACCTCCCAGACACCCACTTCAGCGGGCCCTGATATACAACTGCCAAGAGGCACCGTTTTAATTTGTGACTTTGTGTGTCTCTGCGTTTCCAATTTACACAAATGAGATTGTGCTATAAATCTACTAACTTTGAAAAAAAATTAAAACTTAACGTTTCGTTTCTGTGCTCTCCCCACACAGCTGCGGACAACCAGTTCCCTGTCTGTAACTGTGGCAGTGCGCCCACAGGGCCTGTGCTTACCCACTCGCCCAGAGATGGGCATTTAGGTCGCCTCCAGCTCCACGTTCCCGTAAGGCCCACACCTGTTCTCTGTGTGGGAGACTTTTTAGAGTCTGCTGCTGCAGCCACCAGCTGGTACCCTCCCACCTCATCCCATGGGCTCACTTTCGCACTCACTCGTGAAAAGGGTGGGCAGTCCCCACACACTGACAGCTTCCCACCCATGTGCCTGGATCTCCCTGCTCCTCTAGGTCTCTTTTCTGTGTGGATGCTGAGCATACCGGAAGTGGAAGTACCATTAGGGATTTCTCCAGGAACAATCCCTACCCAGGGATGCAGCCGGAAGCTAAATGTTACAGCTTTCGGGTTGGTGAGCAGATCAGCTGGTGCAAGAGCTTGCCACGAAGCTTGGCAACTCAGGTTCAAAACCCAGAACCCACTCCTGCAATTTGTCCTTTGATATTCCACATCCACAATAAATAATGTAATTTAATAAAAGTAAGTGTAATTTAAACACATGCTTCTCTGTCAAGCTGAAGGTCATCCAAGGGCTGGGAGTGCGGTGAGAGAAGTGAATGGCATAAGATGTAGAATTTAGGGTGCTCACTCTTGGGGTGGGCAAGTACACTAAGTTTCCCCCACTGCTCCAGCTTGTGCCTGTTGTGTGGCTTCATGAGGAGTCTGTTTCTATTCAACCCAGACAGAGGGAGCAATGACAGACCAATGGAGGAGCCCATCCGAGTCCAGCTTGGGGAACCAGAGTTGTCTGGGAGTTACGAGATTCCGAGGGAAACCCCCTTGCAGCTGCGTTACAGAAAAGCCCACCCCAGCATGGACGAGGACTCATAAATGCTGCATGCCGGGCTGGAGAGACGGATCAGCAGTTAAGAGCACTGGCTGCTTTTTCAGAAGACCCGGAGTTCAATCCCCAGCACCCAAATGGCAACTCACAACTGTCTAATCCAGCTCAAACTGATTTGACACCCTCATACAGAAATAAATGCAGGCAAAACACCAACGCACATAAAAGTAAAAAAAAAAAAAAAAAAAAAAAAAA